GGGAAGAATCGTCTCCTTTTGCACTGAAACCTAAATTTAAATTGGTCTATTAACAAAGTGCTCTCTACTTTAATATTTGCACAAAAGTATTCTTTATGAGGTAACAACCCAAGGAATCAATATCCATATCCTAGTTGCAAATTTTTCATCCTTAGGACTTTTTTTTAACATACTCATTCAAAAAAGGTTAGATACTTCACTGGGATCTTCAGTAATAAAAATCAATCGAATTAGTTCAGATGTGACACTGGACGTTGATCATGTAGTCTGCTCCGTATATTCTGAATTTAAGTCTCAGGTGCACTTAGTTCCAAATAGGTGTATATTCATAGCTTCCATGTATGTTAATCTGCTTAGAAGGGAGAATGTGCGTATGTAGGACTTTAGGAAATAAGACCCCTTGCGTAATATCTGTCCCTCCTCAACTGGCCGTTTCTCCATCATTCCCCGCAGGGTTCTATCTCATTTCCCCATCAGAATTTGAAAGATTTTCCCTTTCGCCAAAGTGGCTGGTTGAACCTCGATGTCTCATGAATGCATTGGAAAACAGAGAAAACTGCCATGGGCACAGCACATCTGGCACAGAAAAGACTTCAAAGAAATCGAAGTATGTCTGTCAGAGTTTCAAGTCAACAGTCCATTTTGTAACACAAAGTGTAACTTATTTGACAGTATGGATGGTATTTTAATAGCCTTCAGTTGTTGTTGAAGAACTCAAATCCCTAGGGAGTCTGGCCAATGGTGAACAATACTGGGATAATATTGCCCATGCATTTGTGTTGCTATAATTTTTAGAATGTATAATTCACAAGACTATGGGAAGACCTATGTCCAAAAGAGATCCATGTCTGATGTGATACAGATTTGAATAGATGTTGTTCTTTACTCTGTATATGAGCATAACCTGTCAGTGCGTCTGCTTGTCCCCTGATGTGCAATCAACTGATTTATAGGGTTTACCAGTACAAGCAGTCCTCGAGTTATGACAGCAATTGGGACTGGAATTTCCATTGCTAAGCAATAAGGTCATAAAGTGAGGCACTATATGATCATATCACTTAGCGATAGCAATCCCTGCAGTCCCTATGGCATCAAGCAAGGATTGAGGGTCATTAATTGAGCACCCCCTCACAAGGTGTGTGGGTAGCTGGCAAGACATGCCACAACCCCAGAGGAGCTTGGGGAGGGTGTTTGGATGGGGTGTGTGTGTGGAGAATTTACCCAAGCAATTTGAGTCCTTCCCTGTCAGGGAAGGCTTTGCTTGTGGGAAGCCGGCAGGGAAGGTTGCAAATCATGATTAACATGACTCCAGGATGCTGCAACCCCCGTAAGTGTGAACCAGTTGCAAAGCACCCAGATTGATCATGTAACAGCAGGAGTGCCAGAACTTTGAGGCTGGTGATTTAACTGAGGACTATTTGTGTATCACTTTTCAATAACCTTAGCCTGCTTAGTTGTGTATTTCTGAGCAAATGAAGCCTGAGATTCCTAACTCTTGTAAAGTGGATAGAATATAGATCTATCAGTGAAACCAATCTCTTCCCCTCTAGGGGAATGTTCTAGGTCTTCTCTTTGTAAATGTTGCAAGTTGTGACTTAAATAAAACATGGCTTGCTGTAATGCTAGGACTAAAGAGTACTGCTTGATATATTATTAATTTAATTTATATATACCGCCCTTCTCCTGCAGGACTCAGGGCGGTGCACAGCATATTAAAACAAATACAAATACAAAATACAAAAAATATAGACCCCTATAAAACCAAATTAAAAACCAAATATTAGAAGCTGTTATTCCTATTAAAATTATTCTTAAAATCATCCCTAAGTAAAATCCTCCTTAGGTCAGGCCCGCTTGCTGGAAAAGCCATGTCTTGAGGGCGCGGCGGAAAGTAAGGAGATCCGGAATCGTCCGGATCTCGGGGGGTAGTTCATTCCAGAATTATTGAACTGTTTGTCTCACTGGCTCTTTTCCTTTTTTGAAGCAATATTAGGGAACCAAGACAAACCTCCGGTGAACCTGTTGGTGATGGTAAGTAAACTATGGTGCTTAGAACTCAGTTGCTTTTGTGTCTATCATAGAAAACGACGGGATCGTTTTTGTATCCCATGGTATGGATTGTATTGGCAATCCATACACAACTGGGTACTACACTTGCAAAAAGAATTAGCCAAAATACTTATAAAACAGTTTGGAAAACTTCATGAAAATTCCCTCCCCCACACAAGAAAGAGCTGAAACAGCAAGGAAGAAAACAGTTTATCACAATTTATCCGAAACTTCTCCCATCTGCGTGCCTAGACACACACACCTACCACCCCACACACCCTTACATACACTTGCCTTCTTAACTAAGAGTTAATTTTTGGTTATTTAAATAAAACTCTACAACTATCTGGGGAATTCTTAAAGTTGTCAGATTTGAGTTGTCATATTTTATTTATTTATTATTTATTTATTATTTATTATTCGAATTTATATCCCGCCCTTCTCCTTGCGGACTCAGGGCGGCTGACAATCGATTAAAAACACCAATAACAATTACAAAATTAAAATTAATTAAAATGAAATATTTAAATATTGTCTGATTAAAATATGATTAAAACCCCTCTAAATACCCCTCTTAAAAATTGCCCTAGGCCAGTCCCGCTTGTTGAAATAGCCATGTCTTGAGGGCGCGGCGGAAGGAAGGGAGATCAGGGATCACCCTGATCTCTGGGGGCAGCTCATTCCAGCTCATTTTAAAGTTGTCAGGTTTGAGAAACACCGCTCTAGGGGCATTTAAATAAATCCCAAAACCTAGCATCTTTTGGTCTGGAAATAAATGGGGCAATAGATATTTTTTTTACTCCTTCTCATTCCTATGACCAATTCATCAGTAGGTTCAAGCAGTTGATTTACCTTATTTTTATTACAGCCAAATGCTGTTTTGTTTAACTCTTGTAAGAATAAACGGAACCATTAAAGCATAACTACTAATACTACTACTAATATAACTGTTATTAATAGTTAATTAACAGTTAATTAACAGGTGCTAATGTCCATATCCATGCATGGTTTTGAATTTCAAAACTGGATTTTTGAATGCAGAAGCAAGTCATGGCCTAAGTCCGTGTTGCCGAACCTATGGCACGCGTGCCACAGGTGGCACGCAGAGCCCTCCCTGTGGGCATGCGCACCATTGCCCCAGTCCTAGGCCTTCAGCTGGGTTTTATAAAACCTTTTCGTTATAGGCCTCTGCTGCTGTATGCAAAAAAAAAAAAGGTTGAATCAATCAGCCAATTTCAACTTCTCGTGGGAAAAAAAAAATCTCGCAAAGTTGGAATTGATTGATTGAACTTTTTAGTCCCACCCAGTCTGCCATTACCACCGCAGCCACGCCCAGCCAATGGACCACGCCCACACAGCACCCGACGATACATAAGTGGGTTTTGGGTTGCAGTTTGGGCACTCGGTCTCTAAAAGGTTCGCCATCACTGCCCTAAGTTATTCAGTGGATTTAAGGATCTGTCAGCCATTTTAATAACTTTTAAAACATTTGTTTTTTCTTTCTCTGTTGTTGATGCATTTACACTCAAAGTCCTATTTTTGTCTCTAGACTGTGAGAATTACTTGCTTTAATATTAATATGATTTTTTTTTTTAGAAAGAATGACTGGTAGGCTGATGGAACACGCCCTCCTCAATGATGAGAGTAAGAAAAAGGCTTGTGAAATGGAGTTTTGGTGGGAATTATCCTGAATGCTTTTACTAATGCAGTTTCAACTACTTGTTTTTTCACCCAAAGACATATAACTTCAATAGATTTCTTTTTGACTTGTATGTTTTAAGTGTTTAATAGATCAGACTTAATACAGGCAGTCCTCGACTTACGACAGTAATTGAGCCCAAAATTTCTGTTGTTAAGTGAGATATTTGTTAAGGGAGTTTTGTCCCATTTATGACCTTTCTTGCCACAGTTGTTAAGTGAATCACTGCAGTTGATAAGTTAATCACCTGGTTGTTAAGTGAATCTGGTTTCTCCATTGACTTTTGCTTGTGCAAAAGTCAATGTGATCAATGTGATCCAAGGTCATGTGATCAATGGTGATCACATGACCTTGGAACACAGCAGCGGTCATAAATATGAACCAGTTGCCAAGCATCTGAATTTTGATCATATGATCATGGGGCTACTACAGAAGTCTTCAGTGTTAAAAATGTTCATAGGTCACTTTTTTCAGTGCCATTGTAACTTTGAACAGTCACTAAATGAACCGTTGTAAATCAAGGACTACTTGTAATATGTCTGAGAGGACTAACAGGCATTATATTATTATAATTATAATATAATAATAATAATAATAATAATAATAATAATAATAATAATAATAATAATAATAATAATAATAATAATAATAATAATAATAATAATAATAATAATAATAATAATAATAATAATAAAGTTGGAAGGGACCTTGGAGGTCTTCTAGTCCAACCCCCTGCTCAGGCAGGAAACCCTATACCATTTCGGACAAATGGCTGTCCAGTCTCTTCTTAAAAACTTCCAGTGTTGGAGCATCCACCGCTTCTGGAGGCAGGTTGTACCACTGGTTAATTGTTCTAACTGTCAGGAAGTTTCTCCTTAGTTCTAGGTTGCTTCTCTCCTTGATTAGTTTCCATCCGTTGCTTCTTGTCCTGCCTTCAGGCGCCTTGGAGAATAGCTTGACTCCCTCTTCTTTGTGGCAGCCCCTGAGATATTGGAACAGTGCTATCATGTCCCCCCTCGTCCTTCTCTTCGTTAAACTAGACATACCCAATTCCAGCAACCATTCCTTATATGTTTTAGCCTCCAATCCCCTAATTATCTTTGTTGCTCTTCTCTGGCCTTTTATGTGTGGTGTGTACTTGCATCACATAGTTTCTAGCTGTCATTCATAATTCAATTGCTAATATATATGCTTAAAAACCACATTTACTCTATTTCTGTTCTGGGCACAATACCACATCTGTGAAATGGATAATGATAACCTGCCTAACAAAACAGTTTGAGAGAGGTCTCAGTGTACAGAGCATTCTGCAGCTCCAGAATGTTATAAGTAGATATTTCTATATTTCTTCCAGGCTATGATGATATAGGCACCTATATTTCTCATGACTCATTTTTTTCCTCTCCTTTCAGATGTTCTGAAGGAAATCCAAAGCACTCTGGAAGGTGGGAGAGGGTGAGTATGATACGCCCATATTTGTGATGACCATTAAGGAATTAATTTGGTGGATCACGAGTTCAGATATAGTAATGGAAAGGGGATAGCACAGGAGAGATCTATAATATTTTTTGGTATTTTTGGAGATAAAACATTCCGAAGGAAGAGGAATGTTACCATTCGGATTCTAATTACACAGCCTTTAGCCAATTTGGATGTGATGCATGTATTTTTGGTTTTATGAAGAGCTTTTAAGTGGTAATAAGTCATTTTTTAAGACATATAAACTAAATCTTCCTTTTGATAGCTAGAGTATGAAATTGAATTGTTTCGTTTTTGAGGAGAGTGTCTTTCTTAAATAGTAAATAAATTTGCTTAGAAATGGGAAGATGCATGTGTGTATGATATATCCATATTGTGTGTGTATCCAATTAGAACAAAAATTGAAAGTTGATTGGTATTGTATGAGTTTGGTTTTTTAATTTTCCAATGAATTCAATTTGTAACATTGGAGAGAGAGTTCTTTTTAGAAAGACAGCTGCATTTTGTCCCAAAGGTGCCTTTCCAAAAGGCAACTGGACTTTCTGGGTTTTTCTCTTTGAAAATGTTTTGCTTCTTGGATATAAGAGATAATCACGGGTGATCTGGATGATTGAGAGTCTCCATAGACACAGCTGCTTTTTCTGACTCAAAGATCCATGAAATGCTGTTGCAATGTATTACTTGCATGTATGTTTGCTTGGAAAGAAACTGCCACTATATACTGAATATGAAAATGATATGACGTAAACTGGCTGTCTCATAATCTCCTGTTTTTCATTTTTTGTTGTTTTTGGTTTTGTTTGTTTTTTTGGTAGGAGTTATTATAATAGAAGTTCAGGAAGAATCCAAGTAGGGCATACGTTAAGTAATGGAGGAGGTAAGTTGACTTTATATTTTTACTTGCAGTAGGTATTGAAACATAATAAACTGTGGCTCGTTATAAAAATATATTGCTTCCTACTCTTTATTTGGGACTACTGAACAATCTTATAAAAATTTTCCCCTTTAACTTGAATAGAAAACCACTAGAATAATAATAATAATAATAATAATAATAATAATAATAATAATAATAATAATAATAATAATAATAATAATCATAATCATCATCATCATCATCATCATCATAATCATAATCATAATCATAATCATAATCATAATCATAATCATCATAATCATAATCATAATAAAAAATTTGGAATGGGCCTCGGAGGTCATCTAGTCCAACCTCCTGCTCAGGCAGGAAACCCTATACCATTTCGGACAAATGGCTGTCCAGTTTCTTCTCATGTTAGCAAACTAGCATTGCATGTCGTTTGAATTTTTCCCAATAATTTCATCATGGTTATTAAAATTAATAAAACTAACAAACCTAATACAAAAAATATATATAAAAAAGAAAGTGTGAAAAAAAATCCCCCCAAGATAGTAAGAAAAAGAAACTTTCCTCTTCATCCATAGCAAACATATTCAACATTAACAATTTATGACTGTCTCTTAACCAGATACACATCTTCTTTCTATACTTCATCCCATTGTCTATAAACTCATCTCTAAATTGCAGGAGCCAATTTGAGTCATCTCTAAATCTTCAGCTCTCTTTATTGATCAATAAAGGTCCAATAAAAATAAAATAAAAAAATAACATGTATAAAACCCCTTTCCATTTATTCTATATTCTCTTAACAAACATTAAAAAAGAATAATAAAATTGAAAGCTATTAGATATTACCAAAAATAACCCCTTTACATATCTAAAAATGATAACATAAATATTACAAATTGAACATTTTCAAACCAGATAACCATAAAATATCACCAAAGATAGCAAATCATTATTTAACTACAGCCAAATAAACCAATTTTGTAGGATTTTTCCCCCTTATTTCTCCCAGCCATCCTTAAGTCCCGTAGATAAAATTATAACTCCAGTTTTCTTATAGTCTCTTTGCTTCTTCTCTTGAAGTTCTTATCTTTATCCAAGTCCATATGTAATTTCTATGAAGTTAACTCCAATAAATCTCTCATATTTCTATTTAAAAGAATAGTTCACATTGCTCTTAGGGTACATTGTTTGTATGCACTTTTTGATTTTTAAATGATCATCCAATTCCTACTTGTAAATCCAGCATTTCCATCTCATTTTTGTAATTTGTAAATTTTAATAAGTCCACCTTGCAGTCCAGTCTGTTGTCTTCAAAGGAGTTTGCTCATTTTCAGTAGCAACTTTTAGTTCCAGTAAAGAGTTAAAAAGCTCAAGGACTTCATATGCCCACACATTAAATGTTTTCCTATCATGTGCTTTAGTAATAGACCTTCAGAGTCTTGCTTTGTACTGAAATGTAAACAAAACAGACTTTTCCTTCAGAAAAGGGTCTTTCTGATTAGTTTCAAAGTCTTTAAACCAGTTTCCTGAAGCATTAGCATTTAAACTCTAAAAACTCTAAAGCCACTTCTTTGCAAAAAGTTATAAAAATAAATAAATATTTTACAAAGCTGAAAAGATGTGGTTTTCTTTTTTTAAAAAAAAAAACTCAGCCAGCAACTTGTAGGCTTGCAGTTCTGAAGGTTTTTCAATCTTAAAGAGGCAGTCCAAAAATATTAAACTCCAGAGTGGTTAAAAAGATGAGGTTTGGTCATGCCTTGAATCCATGAAAGGCTGCATTTAAGGCTCAGGGCACGATGAAACCTGCAACTCCCAGTTAATTGCCATTCTGCCATCTGCTCACAAAAAATCAGATGTTGAGTACATATTTATTAGTAAAATTTATATGCTGTTATTCTTCCCAATAAGGAATAGATGCGCATCTCCAGAGCAATCTTTATTCCAGAGAAAATTTCAACAGTCTGGGGCTCACATCCAGCTGCCTTTTCAGTTATAATGCCCCTGCAATATGCACAAGAATGGAGAAAAATGTGGGCACCAACT